TGTCCAATTTGTCATATCGGTCAGATCGGCCAAACATTTCAAATCACATGATTGGTTGTAGTTGATCGGTGCAGCATGGATCTCGCCTTCAACACATTGCCTCATTCTGTGATGCAGATAGAGCGATAACTCCAGAAAAGTTATATACAAGCATTTTTACAATCTTAAGGTCTGATGTGGAAGGTTAGTATTATATGATTTTAATTTTTGCTTTTGTTTCTTCAATTAATTTTCTGTTAAATACTTTTGATATTAAAAGTATAATTAATATATTCTAGACAATATTCAAACTGAATTGGTTGATATTATTAGCTTCGATAACTTAAATTTTATTACCACACTGGTAATTAAACGGCTAATAATTCTTGAAAATATCATTAATAAATCATTTTGTAAAAATCCCACAAGTCTAATTTATTTTTAAAACTGAAATTTCGATCTTATTTTGCACAAGTTTATTTTTAATATTAGCCCTAGGATTCACAGAAGTGTTCCTTAATTACAATAATTAAACCTAAAGATAAAAGACAATTAGTATCTATTGTTCTTATTTTTTTTTAGGGTTTAGTGTTTACAAATTACGCACCATTCGGGAACAAGAACATCAAGAGATATTTCGCTACGTCCTGAAGGTGTTAGTTTTTAATCAATCAAGATATTCTTTTCTAATATTTGATAAATTAGTTATTATGTAATTTATTTATTTATTATATATTTAACATTCATATTGTATAGATTACTCCATCTGAAATTATAAACACGTCTTTAGAAATACCCAGACAGGTAGCGTACTTTTCGTGTTTGGAACAAAATATCCTATATACTATACCACCAGTTGGTACTAAACGTTGAAGAATTTTATGCAAGTAATCCATCTTATGTAAAGATTTATCAGATTATTTAAAGTTAAACGATAATTATTTATATAGGATCACGAAGAAATTATCATTCCGATTATTAGACGAGCTCCACACATGGAAATGAAAAATAATTAATCTGAATGAAACCGATAATCTTTGTAGGGGTTCGTTTAAGACAAGTGTTTATATTCATTCTATTTCATAATATGAATCGGGGCTTTAACTTTAATTTTATTTAACAGTATAAGACACTGAATCGTATACAATCACTTGTTTATCTGTTGCATATAAAAAAAAGAAAATTTTTTAATTTATGCCTCTACCGGAACAGTATGTATTAGTAATTTTCGCAAATTTAAGTTAAGCCATATTTAACTAGCGAATTTATTAAAATAAGATAAAGCAGATATAGCCATTCTTACAAACCTACATACGATTGTTTCCCGAAAACAGGAGCCTCAAGAGTTTATAATTGATATAAATGAATTTAAAGTTGTGTATATTGCTCTTACGAAAGCTCTTGCTGCCGAAATTGTAAAAAAAACTTGACGATCGATTAAAGTGGCTTGATTTGAAGGTTAGAGTATTTACAGGTAAATTAATTAAATAAACAGTATGATTTATTTGTGACACTAATTCTACAGTGAGACCTCTAAAGCACACTTCCTTGGGACCATAGTGAAAATTTGAAAAAATGTGCATTTAAAAAGGGTGTGCATTTAAAGAGAGAAATTATCTTTATATACTTGGGGCTGTGTGGAATGTGCATTTATAGAAAAATATACATGCGTGCATTTAAGGAGGGTGCATTTAGAGAGGTCTCACTATTTAGGAGACATGCAACTGACTAAATCTGAAATTTCAAATACACAAATCATTATTACGACCCCGATAAGTTGGGATGAAAATTACGAGAAAAAGCAATGGAGACGTCGAGCTTTCTCAAGTATGATTTTTTCATAATTTTTATAATTTTTAATTAAAGTCAACATATCGCTTATAATACTATCTATCTAAAATTATGCGCAGAAAGTGATCATTGATGAAATTCATTTATTACATATGCTGTTCTGGAAAGTTTAGTCGCAACTAACCCATCTTTAAGTATTATAAAATTTTAAGCAATGCACTATCTATTTGTTCACATATGATTTTTGGTTAGTACAGTGGCGCTCAAAAGTATTGCATTACCTGAATACAAAATTTTAAATAGCATTGTCTTATGATTAAGACGACGTAGCAGTATCAAAATTATTTATTAGACTCATCATAACAAGTCTATTCAATGGTATAAAAATTGATACATAGTAATATGATAAAAAAATTTTAAATACTTGATTTTGATCATTTATACTATCCTTTTCTTTTGATCGATTTTTTATTAAAATATTTATGTAAATAAAAAAAAAACAAAAATTAACCCAATTATATTAAAACTTTGGTAAATAATTTTCTACCATTTCGTATAGCAACCATTAGCGTTTATTACATCATTTATACAAGTTTGCATAGTATTAACCAACTTTTTGTATACATCGGACTCCAATTCAACCCAAATTTTTTAAATTGCATCCCAAACTGATCCTGTGTTCTAACAAGTATTTCATGCCGCCTCAGACAATGATCCATTTCATTCCAAAGGTGTTCTATTGGGTTTATGTCAGGGGACTGTGCTAGCCAATCAAGAACTTTAACCCTATGTCCTTAAAACATTGCTTAGTAAGATTTGCAGTGTGTTTAGAATCATTATCTTATTGAAAGATAATATTATCTTTATCTATTCCTTGCCACTCGATGGTTCCTAAAGGACTTACTTCAAAATTTGACGATATAAATCACCATTCATATGTCCATAAATTCGGCATATATTACCAACCCTACCAGAAGTAAAACATCCTCACACCATAATATTACCTCATCCAAATTTGACTGTTGGTTTAACATAATGATGATGTAACAGTTCATTTGGTTTTTTCGAATAATATTATTTATCATCTGACTCATATATCATAAATTTTGACTTATCTGATAAGATAACTTATTCCAATCCTCTGCTGTCCATGATTTATATTTTTTAGCAAATTTTATATGTGCAATTCTATGCTTTTTTTAAAGGTATAGTTTCTTACACTTAACCCTTGCACTCATTCCATTTCTATGTAAAGTTCTCTTGATTATACATTCACTAACTTCAATTTGTTCTTCTGTTTTTAGTTTTTTTGGATTACAACAATATTAGTACATTCACTAGTTGTAATTAGTCTAAGAACTTTTCGTTCATATCACCCAGTTAAGAGTCACGGACGTTCAGATTTAGGCTGGCCTTTAAAGTTACCAGTTTTATCATTATGTTACTTGGTTCTTATTACAGTTGATTGGAAAATATTTTTCTTGGTTGCTATATAACAGGAAGGATAATCTTCTTCAAATAAAAAACAAATTCTAGCTATTTTTTCAATAGATAAATAAATCATAGATTTTTATAAAATTACAAATTACAAAAAATACCATAAGGAAGCACAAAAAAATTTGCAAATAAATGTTTACTTTTATTTGTTAAATCTATTAAAATAATTGCATCACCATTTTTGTGAAGCTTCATAACAAAAAAAAACTATTTTTACCCTTAAAAAAAGATTAAGAAAATTGATAAAATATGAGGTATGACAAACTCATTAATTAAAGTTTGTAACACTGCACATTTTTAATCACAAGATATTATCATTTTAAAATTTGTGTTTAGGTGATGCAATATTTTGAGCGTCACTATAAATGATATTAAAATTTATTCTAATTGAATCAAGTTAAAAAATGATCCGTATTGTAGGTAAAGATGATAAATGGTTCTGAAAACATTGGTCTGTAGCAGTCTTACACATAAAAAGATCAGACTTAAATTTCTGCAGTTCTCTACAGTCTTCTATTCATTTGATTAAAATCAAAAGACTGGCAGTCTTTTTGTAAAACTTCGGTCTTTTTTTAAAAACTGCGATCTTCAAAAAGACTGATCAACATTATTTAATTAAGCTTAATAAATTAAGATTTAAAGTAATATGAATTTATGAAAAATCGACAATGGCTGAATGTTATTACATTTTTTTTCTTTTTTAAATAATCGAAATAAATGATAAAAGCAGTTCTTCTTTGATAACAGTTAAAGAAAATGAAGCTGAAACAATTCCTTATGATACTTTTATTGAAAATGAAGCTTTAAATATTGATACTAATTTTGAAGTTAATTTAATGTCAGAAGAGAGAGATGCAGCAATGGATGGAGAATTATCAGTTTGTTTCACAATATTAACAATATGATATAGGCCAACTTGGGGCTTCTGGTGCAGATTTCTAAAAGAGATTCATTTCCACCTACGAACCCAGTTTGCTATAT